CTGTTGGTCGTCCGTTCGGCGAGTTCCTCGAAGTTAGTTCGGTACTAGTTGGGTACGGTTTACTTTTTATTTTGTTCCTACTAGGAACGTTATTTTCGTCGGCGGAGGGGGGGGCGCCAGCTAAAATCTCGCTTAGGGCAGCAAATTGGTTAGAACCGGCCCTGATGGTGTAGGAAACGGGCTCCGTGTTACAAGATGGGTCGGGGGTTTGGCGGTACCACTGCAGACTCTCTGCACACACATAAACACACACACACACACACACACCGCTGCAGACTCTCTGCACGAAGGAGCCACGGTGCTGCAGCTCCTGATCGGAGCAGAGACACACGTTCACTAAGCGGAAAAACGATATCCTGTCACAGAGATCTGCTATTTTAAAGTAAAGTCAACACATATCGACCCTAAATAAAGTCTATATTAAGAACGAGAGGTGTTTTAACATTATGGCTTAAACAAATGACAAATGAGCGAGGGTGATGACGTGAGAGCATCGTCCTATGTGCTGGGGCGAGGCCCTTTTTCCAGTTTAGAGCAATAGCCCCTCCAAATGTCTGTGCACGTCTCTGTTCTACAGGCACATTTTACCGGCATATTTTTCATTATGATTCTACTTGTGATAGTCGGACATGACAACCTGTGCAGCCCATGTATTGACTCCATCCGATAGCTAATACAAAACTTCTGCCTGCTCTCCACAATGATCAATAACAGCGAACGGATGGTCAAAGTAAGGTACAAATAAACAGANACACACACACACACACACACACACACACACACACACACACACACACACACACACACACACACACACACACACACACACACACACACGGTGCTGCAGCTCCTGATCGGAGCAGAGACACACGTTCACTAAGCGGAAAAACTATATCCTGTCACAGAGATCTGCTATTTTAAATTTTAAAGTCAACACATATCGACCCTAAATAAAGTCTATATTAAGAACGAGAGATGTTTTAACATTATGGCTTAAACAAATGACAAATGAGCGAGGGTGATGACGTCAGAGCATCGTCCGGGGGTGAGCCCCGGACAGCCCCGGCCCAATTTAACCCCGCGATTTACGCCAAAGATTTGGGAAATTGGTCCGTGCGCAAAGCATTATGGGGATTGTAAGACCGGAGTATACACATGTGCAGCCTCGAAATTTCCCACAACGAAGTACGCCGGCCTCGGTAGATTTCCAAGTATCCTGGACATTGAAACAGTGCTTCGGCGGGACTTGATGACGTAGTATCCTTGAAATAGTGGCTCTGGAGGAGCCTTCCTCGACATTGAGAAACACCCCCTGTCTGTGCAAGTCTTACACTCACAGATTGTGATTTGATTGGGGTCTTACAATCACAACAATAAGAGGAGACACACTTCGACCATGACATTAAGTAGCATGGGAACACTGGAGTTGCAGTTGAAAATGTATCCGTCGTGACTCAGTCAGAAATCATGTTCCCAGACGAGCTGATGTATTGAAGTTTTGTAGCCAAAGGCTACGAGTTATGAAGGTTAGAAAATAACGAGGAGGCTTGTTTTTCCAAACCAAGAAGGCAAACTCATATTCTGCCACTTTAGGACTGCATGACATACTGTATCACTTCAGCAAGTTCAACATCAACATGTTTGCTTTCAATTATATCCATATCACCATAGTATATGAAGTGCAACATTGTTCTTAATGTTGCTTACAAAGTGGACAAGATTGATTCATTACGTTTTATAATTTAATAAATATAGGGTAAAACTATTCTTCTTCTTATTGCATAACATGTATATTTTAGGCACACAGCTGCACTCCTTACATTTTCAAAATTAAAGCCCCATGGCAACTAAAAATCATAATATTAAAAATAATTTTATCATAAACGTGCGACGACAAGTCAACTAATCGCCAGAACTGTCGACTATTGGTGGAATAGAAACATCTTTAGCCGAGGGCAGCTCCTCAACGGAAAAAGCTATTTTTGGACCCAATTACCACACTTCACTTCATTGGGACATTGTAAGACAAATAAATGAATTTGATAATATTACAGATTTTCGGAGTATGAACATTGTGGGAAATATTGAGGAAAAAGTATACAACTCAACAAAATATATAAATAATATGGTAATATAAAGTGAGATCTTAAGTTACCTTGTGCAGGTTCCCTTTGGAGTCTCCCAGGAAGGCGATGGTATGTCCCGCCCTAACGCTGACAGCCACAGCAGTGAGACGGGCGGACGGACTGTCCAATATGGTCTCTGCCTCCACGGCCGTCCTGCTGGCCATCGGGCTGGGGGTGTGGTCCGAGCCGCAGGGGTACGCTTCCAGAGTGTTCTGATAGAGGAACACAGGTTAAATAACAAAAGAATATATAAAATGCATCCTATACATATATATGAAATGTAAACAAACTACGACTTGATTGTGGGGAGAAGCCCCTTTCAAGTCATTTGTTTTCAAATGTTCAGCATGAAAGTCAGTTGCCAAAAATAAAACAGCAGTGTTTTCACTGTGGTTATTAAACCCCTGCCGAATGTATTGTGGCGGGGTTAGGGTTTGACTTGTACTCTCTGCTTTAAAGCTTACAGACAATTTGTTTTTGCTTCCACAGTCTGGCAGGGGGGAGTCTTCGCTCTGGCTGCAGGCCATGTTGTTTTTTGTTCCGGGCAAGTAGAGGCAATGAACTTGAGAGCTGAGTCTGTTGAAGGCTGCTTGTTTTGATGGATTGCATGAAGATGGCTGGTGTGTTGCTATGAATGGATCTTAGGTAACAGAGACTATTGATATGCAGCAGGAAACTGTTCAACATCAAACTGCTGTAATAACAAAATGTCCACATGTTAGTGCATATTGATAACGTTTATAGAGCCGTTTAGTCTATATTATGGGAACCGAACCATTAGGAGAGAACACACAAGGGTGACTGCATGCTAAGAATAGCCTAAATTACATTTTGACTTCTAAAATAGCTATGAAGTCCGGTCTGGGAACAGGGCCGCTTAGCGTGTCACTGCCGGGCCAATGAGAGGCTGTGATTACACTGTACTGCAGTGGTTCCCAAAGTGGGGGGCGCAGAGGCATGACAGGTGGGGCGCGAGAGACCAGGAGGAAAAATGGTTATTAAAAAGAAAAAGATTAAAAATAAATAAAAATGAAAAATAAAAAAAATAAAATAAAAAGGACTCTCTCAGTGTTATCTCAGTGGGTCTCAAACGTTTTGGTCACCATTACTGTCAACAATTATTTCCGAGGCACACGTTTATATGATCATTATAGTTATAAAAAAATAAAAGAATAAATGAAAAACAGGTATGAAATACTATATGACAGTAAAACAAGAATAAAGTTTAAAAGGGTGATTTGTAAAATATCCATAAAGAAAAAGTAAATCTGTTTACAGTTCTGTTTCATATAGGTGTTGAGAGATGTATCCACAGATCTCTTCATTTTGCTCTCAAAGTGCACCAGATTGATGCTTTTAGCTTCAATATTTAAAAATAAATCTTCCCGGAGGAGCTTGCCCCCAGACCCCCGTATGTGAGGTCCACACACCACCTATAAAAATAGCACTTTACCCCTGCTTACACCTATATGCCGTGAGCTGATTATCGAGCCTTCATTGTAACAGTACACTGTGTATGTGCGTGTGGGGATTGTTGCAGTAGAAAATTCCACTGTAGCGACCGGTACATTAATGGGAAACCCCAATGTTTGAGCACGCTCTATGAAACGTCAAGCTACCCCACAGTGCCCCCAAAAGAAGATTGCTCCTTTACCTATGACCGAAACTTTCATTTTCCTTAGTTTTGTTTCCTCCTTCGACAATAACTTATGAACCTAGACGGTCTCTCTAAATGTCACAGAATCTAAACCTTCCGAGTTAACCTAGGAACGTGGTTTGTCGTTTCCGTCGAAAGTTAGGGACAAGTCCAAAAGGTCCCCTGTACGGGTAGACCGTGCTCCTGGTCTGAGTGCGTTATGCGACCCGCACACCTGTACGAAACAATACACCAGTCCAAGTCCTTAGTTTTTATTATAATCACCGGATTTACGTTTGAGATCCTTGGAACAAAAACAATAGACTGAGGGGAGGGCCCAATAAGACGAAGTCCATACACGACCTACAAAGGTATACCAACGCGGACGCACACAGTGAGCATGTCGTCACCAAGAGTTTTGAAAAAGACAGTCCCCGGGGGGGGAAACCTCTTGTTTTTCAGCCGAGTCAC